TTGCCTAATAATTCTGCACTCCCTGTATAACTAAGGGAGGGTTTAGGGTAATCTAATAACTACAAGCTTTTTCAAAAAGTAAAGTTTTAAGCCTAATCATCAAAGTAGAAAGAGTTTCTGTCACCCGAAGCCAAACTAGGAGCTGGTTCCAGAGAAGAGGGGCCTAAAAACTGAAGGCTTTGCCTTCCATTCTATCTTTAAATAACCTAAAAACCACATATAAGGCAGCAGGCCAAGAGTGGAGTGCTCTACGATTGATTTGACACTATACAGGGCTCTAGAATGCGACCAATTTGGTCGGAAATACAACCTAATTTCTCAATGGTTCGACAAAAAAAAATCCTACGTTGTTGGAGCATTACGGCTACTGTAGTCAGGAGCGTCGCAGATTAATACGTACTGTGCTTCAACATAATATTACTATATTCTGTGTATTGTGCACCCCAAAAATGGCACCTGTTAAGAGACATGCTTACAAAGCGGATTTCAAACTCTTATCAGTCACTAAGTAGAACATGAGAATAAAGCAGCTGCGAGAGAATTCAACATTCATGAATCAATGGTATAGAAGTGGAGGAAGCAAGGAGAATGAGTTGACTAAAGTTCATAATCCGGTGTGTCTTATGGTCCAAAAAATACGGTAATTTATCTTCCTTGTAGAAATGTGCTCCAAATAAAGAACGTTGTGTTGACAAGACTGTTAGTTAATCATTTACAAATTAATATTGTCAGTATGGACAGCAATTTTTAAAAAAAATTAACATCTAAAGTTGCGTTGTTAAGTGATGTGGTTGAAAAATTTAGGTGCACCTAATTTTTGCGCTGGTGCACCTAAGACAGAAAGATAAAATTGCACAGCAGCAGTGTGTGTATATGCTTTCTAATGATACTCCCTAAGGGAAGCATGCATAATGTAAACTATATTGGTCCTGGCATGGAACCCTGAGTAACTCCAGAAATAAACTTAATGCTTGAAGAGGACTATATATTCAAATGAAAAATTCTGAGCCTGTTACATGTGACTGACACCACCGCAGCCTTTAATTTCTATGGTATGCTCTAATTTCTGTAACAAAATATTGTGGTCAACAGTATCGAATTCTGCACTGAGCAGTGGGACAAGCACAGAGACGTGCCACTGCCAGAGGCCATGAGAAGATCATTTATAACCCCTACTAATGCTTTTTTGTACTGTGATGAATTCTGAAACCTGAGTGAAACTCTTCAAATAAACAATTTCTCTAAAGATGATCAGTTAGCCGTTTTACAACTACTTAAAGATTTTTTGAGATTAAAAGGAAGGTTGGAAATTGGCCCCTAGCTGGATAAAGTGATGGCCTTTTAAGTAATGGTTGAGTTACTCCCAGCTTAAAGGCCTTTGGTACGTAGCCCATTAATAGATATAGGTTGATCATATTTAAAATTAAGATATATGTCGCAATGGCATGACATCTTTGAGTTGTAGGAAGCAATTACTGAAGATCAGCTGGAGAAAGACAGATAGAAATCAGATAGAATCAGATAGGAACTCTGAGTGTGGACCAGGCGGACAATAGATAGACAACAACTAAAAACAGATTTTCGAGTTTTCCAGTCAGGATGCATGAGGCTAAGTGTCAGGCTTTAAAAATTAATTAAAACTCTGATGTATGGTTAAGGTGGAGTAGTGGAGATTGCTGTCACTCCCTCACCCCAGCCTGTGCTATCAGTTAGTATTAGTCAGGCATGTTAATTCATTTAAACTAACATAATCATCCTGCTGTAACCCAGTTTATGTAAAGCAGAGTAAATCAATATGTTGATGAATTATTAATTAATTTACTAACATGGACTTAGAAGAGAGATATCTGATGTTAATCCACAACAGTTTTTTTTTTCATTGCAGTTTTGAATAGTATATTGTTACTTTTTTGTGATTTTTTTTTTAATGTTTAAATCATTTATTTTTTGCTGATGTTTGGTTTGTTTTTGGTGGCCTGTGAGCAGATAGTGTCTATGGGGATGGAGTTGATAACATGGTTTGTTAAATGTGGTAATAACAGGAGAGAAGCTGCAGAGAGGTGTGTGTAACTCTGCTTCCGGGTCCCAACTCTGTACAGTCTTTTTTTTTTTTGTTATGTGATATTTGTTATTTTTTGTTTTTTTGTTTTGTTGTTGTTGGTTTTTTTGGGGGGAGGGCAGGCTGCTACATCCAAAGTGAAATGGATGTAATCGTTCCTAAGACCAGTTTTTCCAGAGAAACTTTTCCAGTCATCAATAAAGCTCAAATTGGTTTTAGACAGTCAGCAATTTTGGGAGAACATGCCAAATATCTCACACATGGTCCAGTTTGGGTGGGGACCAGAAAAAACTGTATGGCCCGTGAACTGGGCCATACCGTTCACGGTAATACCGGGCAACAATGTCATAATGTCGGGCAACAATAAGAAAATGAAATATCGTGATAGAATATGGGTAAAACCCGCATGCGCAGTGCCTTTGTTTTCATACGCAAATGGCAGAAAAAGCGTGCCGGCAACAGAGAATGAGAAGGGCGAAAGTGGATCGGTGAATGAAACGGATGAAACAGAATTGGTTCTATGTTGCAACTTCAGTGGTGTCGCACTGGTTTAGCTTTCGTCCGTCAGATACACAACAAAGCACTATTTTTGGTAGCGCATGCTAGCGGGCCGTCGTTATTACCATGTTTTTTGGAAAATATGGCACACTTAAAATCAATCCTTTGAGTTTTCTGAAAATCGACAGTGCCCCTTATAATCCCATGTGCCTTATGTATGAATTCTGGTTGTGTTTACTGAACTCGAAACGATTATTTGTGGTACACGGTGCTGGAAAATGTTTTAATACAACTTTGCTAAGCTACGAACGGAGTGATACGCACTGTGCTTCAACATAATATTACCGTATTGTGTGTGTATAACCTCTTTTTAAATATATATATGGTTATGCTGAGGATATGTCGGCCAATTTCCACTGGAAATGCCTTTTGGTTAAACTGTCAGCAAGGATTTTGCATTTGCACTGTTAAATTTTTATATAACTTTAATGCACATAAAAAACAGCTGCTTTTTTAATTGATTTTTTTTTTTTTTGCACGCATAAAGTTGTGGAGTTGTAAAGTATTTTGCCTAGTGTCAGTTATATCGTCACTTATATCGTTAATTATATTGTTATCGCAAATTTTCAAATGTATATCGTGATAAATATTTTTGGTAATATCGCCCTGCTCTAGAGTCCGCCATTGTTGTAGCAAAGTTGCACACTGATTCAATGTTAATTTTACTTGCCTGCAATTGACATTCTTGCCAACATGAATTATATATTTTTGCAGAATTTACATTTGTCGTTAGCCAGCATTTTCAGGGTTCCTTCAGTGCCGTGGAAGATAATTCCCTCGCTCGTGTTGGTGCTGAAAGACATTGTATTCATTTTTCAATGCTGCTCTGAGAAACACATTATATGACAGAAATAGTGATCTTGATGATGATGATATTCAGTGCCACTAATGAGCATTATCACGGTCTGATGATCTTTCTTTGCAGTGAACAGTATTGATTGTGAAACAGTGCCCATAAATGAGAAGACCCTGGAGGATCTAGGCCCAAGTGGGCCTAAACCCATCCTGCCTTACAGTTCAATGTTCATCTTTGGACAGACCAATCCGTGAGTTCTGAGCTCTGCTTCCTCCCTCCATATGGTTATAAGGTGCTACCACACTGAGCCATCACAACATCCTGTGAATGTTAGCCAGTGTAGCTCTTGGGTGGTATTTTATTTCATATCTGTAAAAAATAACATATTGCATGTCTTACTAAAAGCCAATCTCATGGTACAGATGAGTGCTGACAGGCACCAGTTGTATATAGCATTTTAACACTGCTGGAGTGTGGGAAGGGACAAGAACAGTGAAGCAACAGCAAGTACTTACTTCTTTTTTCTTGGCCTCTTTTTCCTCAGGGTGAGGCGGTTGTGTCACTATATTGTGACTCTGCGTTATTTTGAGATGTCCATCCTGGTTGTCATTGCGATGAGCAGTATTGCTCTGGCAGCAGAGGACCCTGTCTGGACTAATGCACCCCGCAACAATGTGAGACACAGAGTACACAGTAATAAAACTACATACAATACCCACTGTACTCATACAGAACTGAGAGAAGTATATTTTCTTATCTTTTCTTCTGCCTGAGTCAGGTTTTTTATATACATTTATATATATTTTTTGTCTGTGTGTGGCGCCTAAAAATGGGGCCATACATCTATGATAGACTGGATTATTACGCAAGTAGAACTATTTCAGAATAGTATCTACAGTTTCTTTTCTACTTTGTTGTCTTTGTCAGTATTAATCGAGTCTTTTTACAGGTGCTCAAATATCTGGACTATGCCTTTACTGGTGTTTTCACTTTTGAAATGGTGATCAAGGTAAACACTAATACCATTTGAAATTCACTATTGTTCACTGTATTTAGTATGTGTTTTCATTATATTTTATCAGAAGCAAACTGGTGAGTCATTTCAGTTTTTACTTGCAGAAACCAAATAAGTAATACTATAATACGATACTGAGGCAGGAATGTATCTCACTGTGACCAGTGCAGTTCACTCAGTATATCTGCTGTGTTATGGTTCTTATATGTATAATCCACAGTATTTAAATCTGACAGTGTTCTGTCAGTGAGAAATTTAACACCATATTTAATCGCATTTCAATATTCATTTAAATCTGCAGTTCATGACTTTTGTCTTACTCTTCTGCCAGCGAGAGTGATTACACTGCTGTCTCTAACATTTTTTTGTTATTTTTTTATTTTTTGTCATACACTATTACCATTGTAATAGTGGATACTTATTATCAGCAAAAGTATAAACAGAAGAAAGTCCTTATAACAGTTGATTTTAATAGGTAATTTTAAGTTAAACAAAATAAGCAAAAGAACATAAATTACCTGTTCTTGGTTTAGATGGTAGACCTGGGGCTATTGCTTCATCCTGGATCCTACTTCAGAGACCTGTGGAACATCCTGGACTTCATAGTGGTCAGTGGGGCACTGGTGGCATTTGCTTTTTCGTAAGTTCCACAGCTTCTGTCTTTCTGTGATAAAATGAGACATTTACAGATATTGTTAATCCTGAATCTGGTGTGTTATGAGCAATATACATCAAATACCACACTACACTGAGAGATGACATATAATTTAAATGATAGTGCGTAACTTTGGTTAGCCAAATATACAGTCATAGCTACAGTCAAGTTTTGATAGTGGCAAAAACTGTGTTTTATATACTGTACTGGTTCAGTTTTCATTTAATTATTTTTACATGTTTCTAAGTGAAGAACAATCATTTACATTTCATGTTTTGCTTGTTTACCTGTTTTTTTAAAGATTCTCTTAGGTATGGATCCAAAATGTTAGTTTGATGCTCTCTCAGCCACTTAGTTATCACTAAGTACAGATTCACATAATTTCAGCAAATTGTTTCTTATTCACTGGAAGTGGCTGGACAATCGAAAAGCTCACAAACTGATCAACTCTGAGCACTGATAAGGCAGGATTGAGTCACCTTTATTCAGGTTTTGGTCCAGAAGCTGATATTGAGCATGCCACAGCAAACTGGAGAAATTATAAAGAAGAGGTGTCATAACTATAAGTACTGTCTCTTTGCATGAATTTGATTGTTTATTTGTTTTTTGCCAAGGAACTCTTTGAAGCTTATGAAATGATTGCGATTATTTTTCACTATATCATTGAAACAAATGGCAAAATGTATGAAACACAAAATTTGTTCCTGTGCCAAAACGTTTGCCTTGACCACAAACACTATACACATACACTAACCTTACAAAAGCAGATGACCTCTTTATGTATGTGTGAGAGGTGTGTATGAGAGTGTGTGTGTGTGTGTGTTATGATATTGTACAATGTGCTAATTTACATAATCCTCTCCCTGTTTCTGTCCTGTTATCGTTTTGAAGGAGCTTCATGGGGTAATGCCTCCTCTACCTCTCTCATCTTGCCTGTTTGTGTCATTATCAGTGTGTATGTATGTGAGAAAGAAAACATACATGGCTTACACTGCAAAAACAAGTAATTTCCTCACATACTCGGTCTTACTTCTTGACATCTAGGTCACAAAGTATAAAGAAATTAAAGTTAAAATTAAAGTCAAATAATCTAAATTTGTCTTTTTTAATACACCAACAACAATCTACCCTGTTTACTATATGGAAATGTATTTGGCCACAATTCTATGAGGGAAACCGGACAAACACAATTTTCAAACTGTATAGAAATTTAAGCCAATACATTTTTCAGCATCCTTTTGTGAGTAAGATTAAATTAACTGCTAACAAAAATATTTTTCTGTTAAAATTGCCCACTTGTTTTGAATTATGCCAGAAGCTAGGGCAAATCCATTTTACACAGAACACAGTTATATTAAAAAGATTGTAAAATAGTGATTGTTGAAGGAAACAATCAGCAATGTCAGAATGACAAATTACCACCCTTATCTGTTTTGTTTTATTTTCTTTTGTTTGTTTGTTTTTGTTTAAGCAGTAAGCAGTATATGTAGTGAAATTGCTTGTGAGAATGTATCTTTTTGGCAGTGTGTAATGTTTTGTTTGGGACACACGCATCTGGTCCACCAGCTATTCATGCGTCATGCAGATTGAGAACCTGGTTCCAGCAGTGTATCGTGTTGCTTGGCATCAGGTCCTTGCTCTATAGCCATTTGTGCTATTTGGGGACATGGCACGATAGTGCTCATATCTCGTATCTTCCCTGAGCCTTTGAGAGGTGTTTTTATCAGCACTGTGTTTTGCCACAGCTTTGGTTAGACTGGAATGATCACATTAATTTCATATTAATTGTTCAGCAGAGACTTGTTAACATTACAAGAAAACTGGTGCCAGTGGGCACGAGTAGTCGTCAGAGAATATTGAGCTCGTAGCATGCGGATTAGAGTGTGCATGCTAGTACCATGTGACTGTATGCGTGCTCGTAAATAGAGGTGTTAAATGACATTCCTGTGACTGTAGTGTCACATGATTTCCATCTACACCGAAATGATAGGCAGTACTTTGCAAAGGTCTTGAGCCTGCCTTATTTCTTCATATTTTAAACGTAGATAAAAATTGGTGCAATGTCTTATATTAAATCATGTGGACATATACATTGAAATACAGTATATAAGTACACAGTGGGATGCAAAGGTTTGGGCAACCTTGTTAATAGTCATTATTTCCCTGTATAAATCGTTGGTTGTTACAATAAAAAATGTCAGTTAAATATATCATATAGGAGACACACAGTGATATTTGAGGAGTGAGATAAAGTTTATTAGATTTACAGAAAGTGTGCGATAATTGTTTAAACAAAATCAGGCAGGTGCATAAATTTGGGCACTGTTGTCATTTTATTGATTCCAAAACCTTTAGAACTATTTATTACAATAAACTTCATTTTACTTCTCAAATAACACTGTGTGTGTCTCCTATATGATATATTTAACTGACATTTTTTATTGTAACAACCAAAGATTTATACCGGCAAGTAATGACTATTAACAAACTTTTGCATCCCACTTATTAGTATACTTATAAATATATAAATACGGTGTATAAGGCAAAAATGATGTTTGTACAAAAAGCCAATATTTTTGTATTAACATCTTTATTTATTGTCAAGAGGCACTTAACCATCTTAGGCAAGCTTTCTTTTCATTTCTCTGTAGTTTTCAGGAATAGTTCTACAGGCTTCCTAAAGGACATTTAAAAAAAAACCCTCCTCTTTGGATTTTGACTGCCTTTTGTTCCATTCTCTGTTCAGATGATCCCATGTTGCTTAAATAATGTTCAGATCAAGGCTAAGCTGTAGCTGATAATCCATTTAGTGTTTTTCTGTCAGGTATACTTTTACTGCGCTGGCAGTGTGGTTTGGATCATTATCATAATGAAAACTCTGGCTGAAATGCAGACTCAACTCACAACAGAGCCTCCAACATGTTTTACAGTTGGCTATAGACATGTGAATTCATCATTCCATAGGACATTCAGTCTAGTTCTTGTGTAATTTAGCATTTCCTTCCTTAGGAGTATTTGGTGAACTGTAAATGGATGAACTGAATGGCCAGCTGTATCTCTCAGGTCCTGTGTCCAGGTTGTTGCCAATGCTCTTTGGGAATCACCCTGTTGGTGAAAATATATAATAATATTTAGATAATATAATATTTATTTTTGCCTAACTGTGTCATTGTTGGTGTTTTTTTTCTGAAAATTGGAGAAAATGCAGCTAACTTTCCAAGAAAACAAAAAACTTTAAAAAAGACCTTCAGAAAATCTGGAAAACTATTGCTGAAGACCATTTTAAAAACATTACAAGAAAATCTGGATCCATGGAAGCAAAACATAAAGAAGTGAGGTGTGGTTCAAGACTTTTGCACAACAGTGTACACTATGTTCCTTGACAGACATCTGTCTAAATCATCATCATTGTGGATGATTTGTTCCAGACCTGTGCTCAGAAAGTAATACTAGTTAAATTAATGTTTAATGTTTTCAGTGACTAATGAGCATCACTGGCTTCAGTAGAAAATAAATTAAACTTTATGAAACTAGCTGTGGAAACAGCTACTTATTCTATTCTTTTCTGGGGGGGGGGTTGTTTTTTTTAAAATATGAAGTAAAAATAATAGAAACAGTGAAATAGATGGAATAAGAGGACAGGTAAGAAAAAACTTACACAAACTTGAGAAGAGAAGAGACCTCTCCCAGAATAGGTAATAGACAACCAAGATGGAGAGGACATATAAACTTTACCTTCTATCACAGTGAATTTAATTACTTTCGATAGCTCATAAACTGAAAGATAATTGAAAATCTGTTTTTTAATTAATTTTTACTATTTTTTACTTTTATAACTGGCTCATGTACTGCGTAGATGTGGATGCTACTACTAAGTTTATACTATATTAGATATATTTACTGGATTTGTGGAGAAAGAGAACTGAGATAATACCAGCTGATATCAACAAAAAATGCTAAATGTAGGTTTTTTTAGATGAATATCAGCCAGTCCAAATTCAAAAGCTCTTTATTATGTAATGTGAAAGGATTCAGTAATTATAAAGTAAGCTCAGCATACAAATAAAATCACGTATAACCTAATCTGACTAGTTTCTCACACATGAGACTTACCTATACCTAGTTACCTATAGCTCTACACTGCAATACAAGAGCAATATTGTTTCCAATTTTGCAGATCACTACGACAGCTTTAAAAGAAAAATTGTATCACGTTTGTTTACAAGCCTTTTGAATGATTTAAAGAAAAACACACTGCATAATTTTATGCTTGAAATACTTTAAAGTCAAATTGAGTCTATTTTATCAACATAAAGGAGCTAATGTGTGTTAATTTAATTAGTTTAATTAGATAATTACCAACAAGTAAAAAGCTCTCCATTTGATCAAATGCTGTTAATGCAGAAAGCCACCGTTTTAAGACAAGCAGGATGAAATTTAATTCCAGTTTTCTTATTTTATGGTCATATTTTCTTTTTTTTCTTGCATTTTATTTCATGTTTGATCCATTTACAGAATATCAAATACTTGATATCTCTGTAGATGTGATTCTAAATTGTCTTTATGAATTGAGTTCCTTTTGTTTCTGCAGCAGGTTTAGTCAAATCAAAACAAGTAATTTGCGGATGGTTTTTGCTCAGTCTTTGCCATATTGTCGCTATCTTATACCAAGCCTTGTTTGACTGTCAGCTGTCATTCTCTCATCATGCATGAATCTTGAACTGCCTACCTTTCATTTGATCAAGTGCTTGTCGCATGGACAACAAACCTGAATCCAAGGCCAAATCTTTGAATCTGTCACTTGACCTTCTTGAACTACTCAGACTGCATCATTAAACATGATGAAGCAAACTGCAATACTGGTTTGTAATGTTGGATTCAGATGCAAGTGATAACCCAGTTTTTAGGACTCATGTAACATTTCTTTAATTAGTTTTATTCTAAATGCCGTTATTATTATATAGACAATTTCCTAAAAGGCCATTGTTTTTCTTATTTGATCTCTTCATTTGATATTTTGGTTGAGACTCAGTAGTTGTTGTGTGTATATTACAGACAAGGACATAGCAGCTGCCTGTTTTAATACGACAGTTACTATTTGTGTATTACTTCAGTGAAAGGCTACCTCTAGAAATAGCACTTAGAACGCAATCATACCTACGATTTCACTCTTGTTTTCACTATGTGCTGTCAATGAAATAGTTTATCAACTGCTACCAAACAAAAAAATCTATTGTTACATTTTTTTTCTTTCTTTCTTTCTGAAACTATGCTGTTGTCAGTTGATGCAAACATATGCCTTATTTTGTTTATGTATGTGAAGCATCCATAAATGTTTTGTACCCTGTTTTACCACTGTTCTCCCCCAAGTAGATTGCAACAAGGTGTGACCAGGTGGGGAACCCCCCATGCAACCCCAATCCACTTGCATCCTACTCCACCCCATTTTACCTTATACCTCATCCTAATACACCCTTTTAACCACCATTCTTTTTATGCTTAGATCAGCTTCATGTATAAATTATTAAACTCATGCTTCAGTGAAACAAATGTCTTTTTAAACATAACAGTAATGTGTCTGAGTGCCATCAACTAAAACCTGCCTGTACTTACCAAAACCCTTAACTACATTTCAATTAGCTGTACAGACATTTTTCATTGTTGTATTTTCTTGTATTTCAATCCCATAACATCAATTAAGTCCCAAATAACCCAACTAAGGTGCCTATAGATTGGAAATAATTTGTTTATCGCACATTGCTTTGAAGCTGATGGCTTGTTGTTTGCATACATTCCAGGCTCCAGGTGCTTAGTTATCCTGTGGAAGATATTACTACCTGGTCATATGTCAAACATTTATTTTTCACTCTTACTGGTTGACTCACCTGGAAGTTGAGAAACATTTATCTTGGGTCCCACACACTTCGCATTGTCAGCAGTTATTTCATCCATAGTCACTTGAAGTTGTAGATTTTCCTTTACTTTCCTGGTTGCCACGTCACTGTGAATCACTTCCAGTGTGTATGCAGTTGTAGGGATAACGTAATTTTATAAAAAAAAAATCATGAATATAGAAAACATAGTTTAAGGCTCACGTGTTGATTTTTTTTCCCCATTTCAACCTGGGAACAAAATAGAAAACCTATGAATGGTTTAGTTGTAAATGAATTGATAATGTTCTCACATTTGAATTTCATTTGGATAAAACTGTCAGTAGCGGATTCAAAGAAGCTAATTCAAAATGGACTTCTGCGCAGAGAAGGAATAGAAACAGTATGAAAATTTCAATTAAATTTTATTTACATAGCATGAAATCACAACTACAATTGCCTAAAGGCACTTTATATTGTACGGCAAAGACCCTACAATGATAAAAAGAACATAGAGAAAATCCCAACAATCATATGACCCGGTATGAGCAAGTGCTTTGGCAACAGTAGAAAGGAAAACCTCCCTTTTAACATGAAGAAACCTCCGGCAAGGCCAGGCTTAGGGAGGGACAGCCATCTGCCATGACCAATTGGGGGTGAGGGGAGGAAAACAGGACAAAGACACGCTGTGGTACAGAGCCAGAGATTAATAATAACTAATAATTAAATTGAGAACAGAGAATTGTATAAACACATAGTATAAGTGAAAGTACCTTTGACTCCCACCACACTCTGGAACACAAACATAGAGGAAATGTTTTCTGACGGTGTTGCAGAATCTTAATTACTCAAAGCCAGAAAGGAAAGAAAAGGAACACACATATGTAAAGAAAGCTCTTAAAAAATGCGGTTATCCCAACTGGGCTATCATCAGATCAATAACGATGCACAGTAACAATGGTCAGACATCAACATTGTCATCCTTTATGTCGCAGGTTTATCAGAGAAACTCAGGGAGAATCTTCTCCAAGCACGACATTCCAGTGCATGTCAAACCCAGCCACTACAAAAACTGGTTCATCCCAAGGACACAACTCCCAAACACAAACTAAACAACATAGTGCATGCTGTGCAGTGCAGCAGTGGCGGATCGGGGGGGGGGTTGGCTTAAGCCCGGGTTGTTTTTTCAGAAGCCCGGGGTCTTTTGGAGTGTAATTTTTTCATAGTTAGATGCCTGGCTGACAACTGTATAAAACAAAAAACTACACACAATATTCGAAGCACATAGTGCACACTGTGGGAATTTACAACTGTGCGTAAATCCCCCCTAATATTGGTATGATCCGAGCTCAGGCACTAAGCGGGGCGGGGCAGCTGCAGCCTGCCAGTGCGCTGTTGGAGAAACAGAGCCAGACAGACAGAGGAGAACTGAAGTTCGACCAGGTACCAAAGCAAATCATTCGTACTGTACAAATAATGTAAATATGACGGTGTATCATGAAAGATTGATATCAAACTGATCACTTGACCCATATTACATTACTTGCTCTTCAATTGAATTAACAAATAGCGAAATGAAAAGCCGAACAACAACAATGCTGTTTCTTTAGAGAGTCTTAGCTTACATGTGTGTTTATTTCATATTTTCAGTTGTTACCCTCCACGGCTAAATAAATCGGTTTCAGTAATGTACTGATACACAAGAATGGACGTAAGGGGCTTCTTTCAATGAGAAAAGAAAAAACAGAAGAACATTTTTTTACTGTACAACATCAATTTAGAGTAAACTTGTTTTGTTTTGGATAAATAAATATTGAAATATCTTTTGAATTAGTTAAATGTCAGAATAAAGAGAGACAGAGCTTTCTATTTTTTATCACTTTCATCAAATTTAGGAGTACATGTAAACTAAGTTTATTGTTAATTAATAAGAAAACTCCAGACGATTCCATTCTGAGCTGAAGAAGCTTCTGAGAGGTTAGTAGAGTCCATGTGAGTAAATTGGCAGCACACCTGTGGATGCATATAAGGCAAAACACAGAGCCTGTTTCTTTGAAATGGGAAAATCAAGAAATGTCAACCAAAACACCAGGAAACGAATTGTGGAGCACCATAAGTGTGGCTCAATTTTGAATACAATTTGGTGCCATTTGCAATTAAGAAATGCAGATAGTTTCTCTCTTTACTCTTAAAGTTAACAAATATGTTTTTTATATTTATTAATCTAAAAAAAATAAACATTTAGTCTGATTTGATGTTACAATTAAAAAAGTGTTTGTGTTTTCATCTGAAGAGTACGTAAATATCTGGTTTCAACTGTATATTTGATGATTGTCAGCACAAAGAGGGAGAGAGAGGAACAGAGAGGGATAGAGAGGAGAATGAGGACAGAACAGAGATGGAACAAGAGCAGGTGAGACACACGTTAGTCAAATGGTTGTTTACAAAAGAATCACCGTATCATAGGTACTCTTTTATCCCGTACCTAGTGTTTCTTTTTAGGTTTGTTATTTTTCAAGTTATATATTTGTTAAGTTATGCAGGCTTGTTTGCACAACAAGGCTAAATAATTATATGAACTTTTCTGAATCTGTACTTTGGTAGAAATAAAAAAAATAAGTGTAGTGCAGGTCTATGATGATTTTTAGTGCTACTATCATCTAGTTTTGATTCTGGTTCTGTCTTGGTTAAGTCCTAAGCAGTCCTGATTTTGAACTGTTGCAGTCCTGTTTTAATTCCGGATCAGTTCTGGGTCTGGTTGAATTGGGGTTTAGTCCTTGTGTCTTGATACAGCCCTGATTATGTTCTGCCTTGCTGCTTAATTAAAAGCACCCCCCCCACCCCCCAAAAAAAAATAAAAAAAATCCCACATGCATACTACCCTTTAGGGCTAAGCCCCGGGTGTTTCAAATGTCTGGCTCTGATTTGAGGATACTGTTGAACATAATATTTTATTACAGCGATTGGAGTATGATGTAGGTATAATTTCTTATGGTCTTCTTCTGACAGTGGACTGAATTTATCTTTATCTATACATGAAGCTAGATAACACACCAATTACTGCAGGAAGCTCTTAAAGACAAAAAAAACCCTGGATGACTTATAATTTCCTGCTTCTAAATTCAGATAAAACAGGGGGTACTGTACTCAGCTAGAGATTGATGAGGTACAACACAAATGCTACGGCAAGGAGGAGTCAGGACGCCAGGTCAGGGGGGAGATATCATCACCCCCACCCGAGATTGGGTACAT